CTGTGACCCCCCATCTCCAGGCCTGTCCCCCACCCCCACCCCAGCCTGTGCAGTTATGACTCTAATACAGAAGCCATCCATTCTCTCTGCACCTGACCCCTGCTTTGCCAGGTTGGCAGGGGCTGGAGCAGGAGGTAATGAGCATTTTCCGGCAGTCGCTGAATTCACTCACAGCCCTGAGAACCAGGGGCTGTCCTATCTCCACCTGACAGACGGAGCACCTTACCCACCTCTCACTTTGGTCGAAAGATATTGTGCCGCAAAGTCAAGAGGCACACGAGACACTGGCCAAAGACTGTCACTTGACTCACAGAGGCTAATGTACCTAATATAGAAAGACCTAAAACATAGCTATTAAATACTAAATACAATTACATGAAAATAATAAATAGGATCATATATTACATAATATAGTTTATTAAAATAAAATTTAAACAATGTATCATTATTTATTATATACCACTATATATATTTAAAATGTGTATATTTAGTCCTGGCTAGTGTTGCTAAATGGTTAGAGCATCGGCCCACACACTGAAGGGTCTCGGGTTCGATTCCCAGTAAAGGGCTCGTACCTGGGTTGCAGGCTCTATCCTGGGCCCCAGTTGGGGTATGTGCGGGCAGCAACCAATTGATGAGTCTCTCTCTCTCACATAAACGTTTCTCTCTCTCCCCCTCCCTTTCTCCCTTCCACACTCTCTAAAAAATCAATGAAAAAAAATCCTCAGGTGAGGATTAACAACAAAAAAGTATATATTTAACAATATATAATTATGATTAATATATGAAGAGCAACTAAAATCAATAAGAAAGAAGCAACAGCCCAGTAGTAAAAGAAATGGGTACAGGATGTTAGCAGTTCATAGCAAAGAAACAAAAGAATCTTGAAGATACAGAAACACCTTCACCTTCATGCACTATACTAGAAATATGAGCAAACTTTCTCAAAAAGACCATTTTTTTTCAATCTATGGGATTTGCAAAAGCCCTGGGGTTTGAGAACTCTGTGGGCATCTGCCTGGGTGGGCGGGTAACTGGGACACGCCCACCAGAGGTGGATCTGGGGCCTCAGAGCCAGCAGCGCCACCCACCACAGGGGGCGGGGGGGTGGGGGAGGGCAGTGGTAGTGGTTTGCCCCACCGGTCCCTTTGCATCGTTCGGATGATGAGGGTACAAGTTCCTGCCACATGTCTACAAGGAAAAGAGACAGAAAACAGCACAGCGTCCTCAGGAGGAGGCCACAAATGCACAAGGTCTGGCTCACTCCCCTGGGGAGTAAGATGCTGCTGTGTAAAAGGTGGAGGCACCTCATTCACCGGCCTATAAGTTCCTGCCACATGTCTACAAGGAAAAGAGACTGAAAACAACACAGTGTCCTCAGGAAGAGGCCACAAATGCACAGTCTGGCTCACTCCCCTGGGGAGTAAGACGCAGCTGTGTAAAAGGTGGAGGCACCTCATTCACCGGCCTAAGGGGTCTTCACGGGACAGTGGAGACATGGACAAGGGCAGAACAGTGTGTGCACATGTGTGAATGGCACATTCTCATCTGTTGGTCGGAGCATCGAGAAGCCCAAGAGAATCGGTCAGTTTACTTGGGGGTGGAGGAGTCAGGGATGCAAGGAGACTTTCCAATCTTCCCAGGGGAACTTTGTACACGTATTTAAATCTTTTGTTTATTTATTTTTTGTTAATCCTCACCCTAGGATATTTTCCCACTGATTTTTAGAGGGAGTGGAAGGGAGGGAGGAAGACAGAGAGAAACATCGATGTGAGAGAGACACATCAATTGGTTGCTTCCCGTACACACCCGACCAGGGCTGGGGATCGTAAGTTGAAGAAGAGCAGGACACCTGTTTGTGCTGGAGGTAGCCCGTGATTTGGGTGTCACGCTGCATTTAGGGGGGCGTTCGTGTTGTCGATCTGCGTCCCTAGAGGCAGCCCCTCAATCATGGAGTGGGCCGCTAATCGCCTGGGGTTCCGGGTTTGTAGGGGGGTGTGTGCCAGAGCCCACAAAGGCTTTGAATCCTTGGCCAGTAGAAAGGGGCGAGAGCTCTGCCCCAGCCACCCGGTGTGAGGGTCTGTGGGCTCCACAGCCCCCTGCCCCAGTGTGGGCGCCCCAAAGCCGCCCACGGCCCCCGGGAGCCCCCGACGCTCACCCAAACCGACTGACCACCAAGCTTGGTGATTTGTGTTGCCATATACCCACCTTCACAAATGGGGAGGTTGAGGCTCAGGGGGGACTATTAACGGCTCAGGAACCTCGATCCTTCCAGGGGCCCTGGCCAGAGCTTAGGGAGGTCAAGCCACTGCCTGCTCATTGTTCAGATGGGGAAACTGAGGTCCAAGGGCTGTTGGGGTCCGAGAGCATATTGTCCCCCAGCTTGGAGCCCCCCACACTGATACACTCAAGAAAATCATAGTTTTCTTTTTTAAGGAGAGAGAGGGAGAGAGAGAGAGAGAGAGAGAGAGAGAGAGAGAGAGAGAGAGGGAAAGAGAGAGACTAACTACAGGCTGGACCTCCTGCTCCCTCTTTCCCTCGGGTCCTGGTGACGCAACAGGCCCGGTTCCTCCAGCAGCGGTTGCCCGTTATGCCACCCACGGTTGGAATGGAAAGGGGCCGGGGCAACAGCTCCCAGCCCCCACTTCCTCTCCACCTGCCAGCGGGACCCCCTGCCAGAGGGTTCATTCCCATTGCACCCCCCCGCCAGGCTCTCCACAGCCCCCAGCTTCTGCCCTGGGAGCTTTCCCACACCCCATGCCCTAGGCCTCCAGGCAGCCCCCACCCCCCGCACCCACCTGCCTGTCCCCCAAGCCTTGGTGTGTGTGCACCCGGAACAGAGCGCTTGGAGAAGGGCACCCCGAGACCCCCCAGGGAGGCCCCCCCTTGGTGGATGAGTTATCTAGCAGGTTTGTGTGTGTGTTTCATTTTGTTGTTGTTGAAGGTTTATTGAAATATACTTTATAAACCATAGGACTCGCCCATTTAACAATTCAGTGATAGTTGATGCATTCACAATATTGTGTAACTACCACCTCTCTCTAGTCCCAGAACATTCCTTCACCCCGAAAAGAACTCCCCCCTCCCCATATGCAGCCACTTCCCATCTCCCTCCCCCAGCCCCTGACAACCACCAACCCACTTCCTGTCTCTGGATCAGCCTGTTCCTGGACATTTCACATAAACGGAATCACACAGAATCTGTCCTTCTGTGTCTGGCTTCTCTCATGAGCACGTGTTTTCAGGGTTCATCCACATTGTAGCAATGTCAGCGCCTTGTTCCTTTAACCCTGGGTCAGGGGATTCCGGGACCCCAGGAGACTCTGCTGTTTAGTAACCATCTGACCACTGCGGTCCTGGGAGGCTGCCCACACATAAATATGCAGCCTGAGTGGGAGGTAGGGGGAGGTGACTCACAGATGCGAGGGTCACCCTGGTTTACATCGTCTGAACATCATGATTTATTCTGGAGTCTACTGTGAGCAGGGAGTGAAATCAAAATGTTCCCAAATAGCCCTGACTGGTTTGGCTCAGTGGACAGAGCATCGGCCTGCGGACTGAAGGGTCCCGGGTTCAATTCCGGTCAAGGGCATGTACCTTGGTTGCGGGCACATCCCCAGTAGGGGGCGTGCAGGAGGCAGCTGATGGATGTTTCTCTCTCATCAATGTTTCTAACACTCTCCCTTCCTCTCTGTAAAAAATCAGTAAAATATATATTTTTTTTAAAATGTTCCCAAATAATTAACTAGGGTTTCTCCACTATTTACACGGGGGGAGGGGGAGCAGATCACCTCTGGGGAGCTGTCTGGGCATTATGGGGGGTTGAGAATGGTCCCTGGCCCCACATACTCCATACCAGGGGCATCTCCATCAGTCCTGCTGACCTTCACAATGTCCCCAGACAGTGTCCCCTGGGGCAACAACCACCTGGGGAAGAACTCTGCCTTAGAGGGAACAGTGAACCCTTCTGCGTCCCAGGAGGGCGCATGGCTCTGTGGCCCCACCACTGTTTCCTATGCTTTCCTGTCCCCAGGAGTGGGGCTCACACCAGCACCTGGACATGCTGACCACAGTCCTCTCAGGCCAAAGGGGCCTGTGGGGGAGGCACGGAGAGCGGTGTGTGTGCCCCTCTGAGCCTGTGCCCTGCTGGCCCTTGTCCATGGGACCCCGGCATGGGGTGGGCAGGAGATAGTTTCTCACACTCGCAGGGGAGTTGGAACCCTGAGCCAGATGCTCCCTGTCCCCCTGGAGTGTGGTTTGTTCCCCAACTCCCTGCGGCCCCAGGTTGAAAGGAGGAAGTAAGGACACCCAGTCTAGGTGTGGGGCAACCCCAACGGCCTCCAGGTCTCGGGCTATAAGAGGGGTTGGGGAGGCAAGGGAGCCCCCACCCAACCATGACTCAGAGCCACCGACCCTCCCAGCCTGCCCTGGCCCTTGTCTTGCTGGCCACGCTGCTGGGCGGTGAGTGGGGCCACATGTTGTCCATTCATCTGCCCAGGCCTTGCTGATTCTGGGGAATATCCACCCACAACAGCCAGTCCAGCACCCTCACCACACAGATGGGGAGACTGAGGCAGGGCCAGGGCAGGACCCATTTGCTGCCTGGAATGAATGCCTCCAGGGGAGGGGGGAGCTCTGGGACATGGGACTCGGTGTCGGCCCAGTGCTTCCCTCCCAGGGAGGTGGGTGGGGACGCACGCAGCAGGGAGAGTGACAGCCGCCGATGCCCCTCGTTCTCAGGTGCAGCATGGGCTTCGGAGATTGTGGGCGGGCGGGCAGCTCAGCCCCACTCTCGGCCCTACATGGCGTCACTGCAGATGCTGAATGCCCACTTCTGTGGAGGCACCTTGATCCACCCGAGTTTCGTGCTGACCGCTGCTCACTGCCTGGCGAACATGTGAGTGCCCAGGTGGCCCTGCCTTGGGTCCGATGGGGGAGGTGTCCCAGCCCTGGGTCTGAGGGAGGAGGTGGCCCTGCCATGGGTCTGATGGGGGAGGTGACCCTGCCCTGGGTCTGATGGGGGAGGCCCAGTACTGGGTCTGATGGGGGAGGTGGCCCAGCCCTGGGTCTGATGGGGGAGGTGGCCCTGCCCTGGGTCTGAGGGAGGAGGTGGCCCTGCCCTGGGTCTGAAGGAGGAGGTGGCCCAGCCCTGGGTCTGAGGGAGGAGGTGGCCCAGCCCTGGGTCTGAGGGAGGCTGTAACTGAGGGAGCTGCATCTGGTGCTCAGGGTGCCCATGGGGTAAGGAAATGGGTGGATGGGGGGAGCAAACAATAAGCACCCTGACCTCTCAGGCCCATGGCCCTGGTGAGGGTGGTGCTCGGGGCCCACAACCTGCGGAACGCCGAGCCCAGCCAACAGAAGTTCTCCGTCACTCGCCAGTTTTCCAACAACTATGACCCAGAGCTGAAGCACAATGACATTCTCCTACTGCAGGTGGGTGGGCGGAGCCCGCAGGGCCGGTAATTACCCCTTCAGTCACCTTTAGCAAACACGTACTGAGCACCTACTGTATGCCAGGTCCCTGCCGGTGCTGGGACATAGCCTGGTACACAATAGGCCTGGTAAGGAGAGGGCCATTCAGACAATAGCCCCACAAATGGCTGCCCCACCTGCCTTTAACCTGGCCGTGCCCCTTGCCCGGCACCCATCCTCCCAACATCCTCACCCCCCACCTCAGCGCCAACCTCACCTTCTCAGCGAGAGCTCCCCTCACCCTAGTGCAAAGACAGCCACCCCTCCCCTGATGCACGGTTCACCATCTCGCCATTTCCCTCGACAATGCATCTGTCATTCTCCTGACCTCTCCCACTCCCTGAAAGGTCAGCTCCCTGAGGGTTTAGTGGAGGACTAAGCATACAGTTGGCACTCAATGAGCGCTTTGTGAGTGGATGAAAACCACAGTGACAAATGCTGCAAAAGGGAGGCCCATGGTGTCAGAGAATGTAAAACAGCCCTGGTGGGGTTTGGAGGATCAATCAGAACAGGCTCCCTGGAGGAGGTGACCCTGAGGTAGAACCTGAGAATGAGTGGGAGGGGGCCCCGAGGAGGCACTTTGGGGTGGTCAGGACGTGAGTGGATGTGAGAGGGGGTGGCTACGGGGCCTGGAGACAGGATCTCACTGCCCACCTTCTCTCACTGCCCCAGCTGGACCACCCTGCCAACCTCACCGCCCAGGTCGCAGTGGCACAGCTCCCGGAGCAGGACCAGCTGCTGCCCCACGGCACCCAGTGCCTGGCCATGGGCTGGGGCCGCCTGGGCACCATGGAACCATTGCCCCACGTCCTTCAGGAGCTGAACGTCACCGTGGTCACCTTCCTGTGTCGGCCAGAGAATGTGTGCACCTTCGTTCCCCGGCGCAAAGCTGGCATCTGCTTTGTACGTACCTGCCCGGCTGCCAGTGCCCTGGGCCTCTTTGGATGGCAGAGAGGGCTCCAGGAGCTGCCCACAGGAGGGAGGGCGGGGGTGGCAGCAGTTCAAACCCACCTCCTCCCCACCGAGCAGCTGCAGGCTGTGCCTTGGTCTCCTGTCGGGAAGAGGGGCGCACCCATCGTGAGGGCTCAGCAAGGGATGGAGAACAGCTTTGGCTCCCACAGGCACCCAGGGGTGCTCATGTCGCACCCGGTGGCCTCGGTGGGTCTAGGAATCCTCCCACTCCAGGGCCCCCTCTCGGAGCCACCCAGCTCACTCCAGGGGTCCAGGGATATAGCAGGGGCCGTAAATGCCCACCCCCCTCCTGAGTGGCCCATCTCCCTCTGTCGCCCACGTGCCTTAAAGAGAATTCTGCACTGGAAACACGTTACGGCTAAATGGCATTAGGCTGCCACCAGCTACACTTTGCCCGACGCGGCCACATCCTGGGTGACTGACCAGCCTGTTCCCGCCCTTCCCAGGGGGACTCTGGCGGCCCCTTGATCTGCGACGGCGTCCTCCAGGCTGTGGACTCCTTCCTCGTTCGGGAGTGTGCCAACCGCCAGTACCCGGACTTCTATGCTCGAGTTGCCCTCTATGTGGACTGGATTCAGTCTGTGCTGAGAAGTGTGGGGGGTGAGGGCAGCTCCTGAGCCCCTTCCCCCGGGTCCCCCCATGGGCTGAGGCCAGAGAACAAGCCCTAATGGGGGGAAGGGAGCCGGTGCCCAGCCTCACGGTGACGTCAATAAAAACTGAAACCCTC